TTTACATCATATGAAAGTACACATTTTTGGCTTCACAGAGAACCCCAAAATAAAAATCAAGTATTTTCTTAATTTCTGGACAATCAAGGGCCGTAACTCTGTAGATTGCCAACATTTTGGTGCAAAGTTTTTTTGGGTAAGTCCCTAGGTCCTACCCTTTCAGAAAATCATGGTGGCGAAAAATCCCCGGGGGGGGGGGGGGGGGGGGCCAGTAGCCCATAGCCTATGATGGCTCTAAATCGAACTCAGCCGTGGGCACCGCCGTCCTGTCCACAAACGACGCTCCCCACAGGAGGCTCCATCCGGAAATCTCCCTCTCTTCTGCGAAGGCCACTGCCATCAACATGGAATTGGACTCCGTAGAGAATTCTCCCAAAGCGTCTTTTCTTATCCTGTCCGATTCCCTGTCTTGCATCGCCTCATTCGCAAATCAAACAACTATACACCCCCAAAAAGTTAAGTTACAACTGAAAATCCACACTTCAATGGAAACATACTATCGTGTTCGCATGGCTTCCTAACCATGTGGGCATCTAGAGACTTGAGAAGCAAAGTCAAAAAGTGCACCTCCAGTATGTCGGAGAAACATTGGGGTAAGCAATTAAAGAATAAACTCCACAATATCGTGCCCAAATTGGGCTCACAAAAACCTTTTTACTCAACTGTGTATCGGGCACACCTCCGTGACACATAAATGTCTCTCGCAGGGAGATGAGAAACCGTTCTGTGTCGTATACAGATTTCATCATTAGGCCTAGACACACATTTATAAGAATGTCCGGACTTTGGAGAGACCCGAAGGAAATAACTATTTTTTCAATTTTAAAAGTACAAAATTGTTGATCCCAGCAGAATTTTTGATTATGTAAATACATGTACTGTTATTTTAATATTATGTACATTGTCATTTTAAGTTAGAATTGTTAAAATCGTAAACTCTTAACCTTTTAATCTGATAATTGACGAAAACCTAACCGTGCTGTGAACTGTTGTGGATTCAACCAGCTTCTGTTTTACGCGCTCATATGACCTTATGCAGTTGAGGGCGCCGTAAAACTTTTAGTCTTACTACTAAGACCCTACCACATACAGATTTCACACTCCACATAATTTGTAGGTAGGGGTTGTCTATGAGAGAAGGTAGCCTACTTCATTTTTATATTTGATTTGTTCGTTTTGTTTTGTGCGTTGCAAGGCAAAATATATACGTGGTCTAATGTTTCTTTTGTTAATCCGTGGAATTTCAGTCTTTCGGGTGGTATATAAATGCCCCCCCCCCCTCACTCACACAAACCTTTTTTGCGCGCTCCTTCCCCTCGGCTCTCAACCTGTTCCCTCGTCCTTCCTGACTAGGTTTACTTGCAGAGCAGATAACGGATAATCAGTCATCTCGAAACAATTGTGTTAACCGACTGGAAAAGAGGGCGTTCTGGGTAGTTTCTATCAAGTCCAATACAAAGAAGCTCAAAGTAAGCCTTAAGTAGCGTCGACACCGATACGACTTCGAACCTGCAAGATTTGGTGAGTTGGAAAATCCGAAAGAAAACTAGAATAAAGTTTGATTCCTTCATGTTTTGGTTCGTTGAAAGAATTGTACGGCAACAGCAACATAATAAGGTCATATAAGAGCCAGGATTTAGAGCCCCCCCCCCCCCCCCACACACACACAAAAAAAAAAGAAGAAAAAACAACCAACCAACCCAAAAAAACCCTCCCAAACCAACAACAAAAGAACAACAAACAAACAATCAAAACACAAAAACAAAAAACAAAACAAACAAACACAAAACCAACCAACCAAACAAACAAACATAAAAAGTCAACAACAACTACAAAAACTATACACATCATTCGAAAGCATGAGACATGTGTGGAGTTGAATATGTGTTACATTCCTTTTTTTAAAAAGAATAATTATTGATTCAAGTTCAGAAGAAGTCTCATAAATAAGTTTTCTTTCATCATCATCATCATCATCATCATCATCATCATCATCATCATCATCATCATCATTATCATCATCATCATCATGCCATCGCTGTTGTCGTTGTTGTTGTTGTTGCTGTTGTTGTTGTTGTCGTTGTTATTGTTGTTGTTGTTGCTTTCTCCTGGATATCAAATATTTTCCGAATAAATGTCTAACATCAATATACAATGTATTGGAACCCCTTCCCCCCCACTCTGTTGATGTTGTTGTTGTTGTTGTTATTGTTATTGTTGTTGTTTCTTTCTTGTTGATGTTGTATGAGCACATTTGCCGAATAAGTGTCTAACATCCATTTATATTGGACACACACCCCCTCCCCCCAAGTTTACCCCTCAGCAATAACCATGCTCATAATGCTAGGATTACAAGGTTTCATTGTTGTTTCAATGTCAGCTACACCAGGGGCGAGGTTTCCCGCGTTTGGGGGAGGGCTAGTAGAATAATAATATATCCCGGCTGCGATGATAAAACCTGCAATTTTGTCAAGGGTGGACTGGCTAGTAGAATTCCCTCTGACCAACGTCAAAGAGCAGGACTATTAGAGTAGGGACTCGCGCACAGCCTGCAGTGTTGCTCAAAGGGTTACGGCGAGAAAGCAAAGCAAAGCAAAGCAAAGCAAAGCAAAGCAAAGCAAAGCAAAGCAAAGCAAAACAAAACAAAAACTGATAATGGCCACATTCCTCCTGGACGAGGACAACGACGGGGACTTTAGACTGACGTAACTGTAGCCTGCATCATGCATTGCGCCTTTTTAGTAGGCCTATATAATTATATTATAATAGTACACGTCAATGCCTTCAACAACAGTGCTAACAATGGAAAGAACGCTGTTTCTGTTATTGCAATTTATTTTATGCCCCCCCCTCCCTTCTCTTCCACAACCCTCACCCTCAAATCGAACAAATTTATATCATTTTGGAGGCCGGCTGTTTCCTATCCTGTTTGCCAGAAGAAGAAGAAGAAGAATTAAGGGAGGAGGAGGAGGAGGAGGAGGAGGAGGAGGAGGAGGAGGAGGAGGAGGAGGAGTTGAAGGGCGCTACTGGCAAGTCCTATTTGTTTTTTTCCTCCTTTGTTGTTTCTGTCTGTACGTTTTGCTCTTTCCCCCTGCACTAAATGATCATTCTTGTGTCAAAATGCTCACATTACTAAAAGCAAACAAACAATAATGATTAAAAAACAATACAACCCCCCCCCCCCACAACAAACAAGGGAATCAATTTCACATCTTCTGCGTGCAACAGCGGAGAACCAAAGCGCAACACCATCGGCTTCGCTTTACGCTAGGCTTTCGACAAACTGCATAGTGTTTTGGTGGGGGTTTTGTTTGTTTTTTGTTTTGTTTTGTTTTGTTCTTGCTTTTTTTTCAAGTTGTATAATGCCTTCGCATTAATTAAATCCCCCGGGCTGCTGACACACTGGCGCTGTGTGGTTTTGAGGAATCGAAGCTTCATCCACACTTCGAAGCTTTAAGTTACTATTCGTGCTATTCGAACACCGGTGCGAATAGTTTTTAATACATTGTTCATCTTATCGAGAATGAAAACTCCTTCTCAGCACTCGCTATTTGATACTACCTTACTTTAACGCTATTCACCTGTCACTCTGTCTTGTAATCATCAAGTAGGCCGGAAAAGTATTCATGCATCTATTTCAATGAAAAACATTTTTATATAATATTGACATGCTCTAATTTTACGACATCATCATCATTGCCTTTCTCACCCTGCACCAGGGTATAGGCCACGGACAAATACCTTCCACCTTTCTCTATCCTGGGCTAGCCTCTTGATGTTTTTCCATGTCTTCCCACTTTTTTGTGCATCGATTTCTGTGATTCTTCTCCAGGTTCCAAGCGGTCTTCCCCTTGATCTCTTACCCTGAGGGTTCCAATCCAAAACTTTTTTTGTTATGCAGCTGCCTGACTTCCTGAGAGTATGTCCAATCCATCACCACCGCCTTCTTCCTACCTCATCTCTGACTGGGATCTGTCTTGTTTTCCTTAACACTTCCACATTGGAGACCCTGTCGGTCCATCTGATCCTCAGTAATGAGAAAAAAAGACAGAAATTCAATCTCTATTTGAAAAAGTAATAATTTTAAAAAAAAGAAAAAGAATTAAGCACAATCACCTTGCATTCGAAAGGCTGTGCCACGCTTCGAATAGCTGTGAATAGGACAAAAATAATGAAAATCGAATAGCAAAGTCGAATGGGCACAGCTCTAGTCGGCACAGCAAACAGTGGACACTCGGCGTCACTGGCCTATCCAGGACACTGACTTTCACTCCTCGCAACACAGCGTGACGGGAAAAGAGAGGGTATGTTGTGCTTGTGTTTGAGAGGGGGGGGGGGGGGGGTGTCGGATGGGGTGTGGAAGATTAACAAAAGAGTATCTGAAGTAAAAATAAAGAGCAATTGCACGTAGCCTAGGCCTCCTGGTACCTTTTCCAAAGCGGATGTAACGCGTTGGGGTTCGTGCGTTCGTTCAAAGCGCTGGCAGCTCGGCGAGAGGGTGAACGTGGGAGAAGGCGCTGGCAAAAGACAGGGACCTGTATTTTAAAGTGTGTGAAAGTCAAAGGCTCAACAAAAACCATGGAGTTCGAAGAAAAGTTTCTTCGTCTCTTCGTCATTTTCTCGACTCTACCATTTCTGCTGCATGCACAGCCTACATTAATATCGGTGAGTAGAAATAATAATAATTATATTATTGTAACACGGGCATTGATAAAGACAAAGGTTAGGACGATGACGGAGCAAATGACGCACGCATTTAATTACATGTTAGATTGGCAGAATTTCTTTTTTCACTGCTGTACTTTAGTAAGGCTTCTTTAACACTGTTTGTCTTCTGCCCCCGCCCCCCTCTTGTTCGTATAGGTGATTTGCCTTATACAGGTGGCCATGGAAGCAGGTTCAGCTATTTATTTTGGCTCTTAAAATTAGAGCAGGTGATTTTTACAGTCGATCTTGCTCTAACGGCTGCTCCCCCCACCCCTTGCATTTTTGGATAAAAAAAACCCATTTTGATGGGATAAAAAAAACCCATTTTGATGACAATTATGTGTACGATGTTCATGTGTCTATAACCGCTTTTCTCTTCGACGATGAATGTATATTTTATACGCATACTCATACGCACACACACACAAACACACACACACACACACACACACACACACACACACACACACACACACACAAACACACACACACACACTAACACACACAGACAGTATCATGTCTCTCGCATTCTTCCCTCTATCTTTCTTTATTCACCCTCCTCTCTAGTCTCTGTCTGTCCCTGCCCCTCCCATCCCCCCCTCTCTCTCTCACCATCCATCTCTCGATAATAATATCTTTTTTTTTGGGTAAGTGTATACGGCGCTCGCAACTGCATTAGGTCATATGACGAGCGCGCGGGACACATTAAACATTTTCAGTTTGGTAGGAAATTTTGAATTTTTCCCGGGGGGCCGCGGAAGCCTACTCTTATCGATTTTGGACCCACAAGGGATCTTTAACGTGCGCAACGTGCACACGAGATCAGTAGAAAGCTTGCAAAAAGTCAGGAGCCTAGAAGAGAGGGTAAAGGAGGTGAGTGGTGGGGGGCAGAAAGTTGAGACGAAAGCAGACTACAGAACATTGTTAGAGAGCAGAAGGGGAAGTGAAAAGAGACAGTCTTTGAAAAGAAAAGTTTCCGTCGCCATCCGGATTCGAACCCGGGACCTATTGAATGAGAGGCGAACACTGTAACCTTTCGACCACGAGAGCCCCTTATAATAATATGACTTTGTAAAGAAGCACACAGATGCACAATTATTCCCCACTGCGAATTCAACCCCGATTACGAGGATGTTGCGCACGTTAAAAAGCCTTTGGTGGTTGAAAATCATAGAAGAGTAGGCCGTTAGCCAGCCACAATCGAAAAAAAGATTAATCTAAATTGGAAAAGTCCCTACTATGACAAATACATTGTATCCTATAACACTAGTAAAAGTAGGCCTAACAAGCACCCATACAACTCCCTTGATTTCAAACGTATTAGCGATGCCTCTTTTTTAGAGCATATACCACGTACATTTAAATCAAGATCTGAAAAGGAAGGGTGGGTGGGGGTAGCATAGAATTGGGGCAATCTGCTTCCTCAATGTCTACCGCGCAGGCAAAGCTGTACCATGCATGAGATGTAATAAATTGCTTTAGAGATCGTCTGTTAAGACGCAAAAGGCCATAGATTAGTTAAGAAAAGAAGACATGTTTACTTTTCATATCGCATTTCGGAATCAAGTGTGTAGCCAACTGTGCTGTTTCTGTTACGCTGTTTCTGTTATGCTGTTTAGCATTTTCTCTGGGATGTCGAAATACATGCAATGCATAAATTATATCTAAATTCGGGTCCAGCATTCGAATCTCCTTCTTTAATTTTTTTTTTTTCGCTCGGGTGTGGTTCCCGCCAAACAACATTCAAACGACGCGACCAGAACTATTCCAAAATATACGTCTTCAGCCAACCCCCAACCTTTTCCAGTACCCACCAAATAATAAAACAATGAGAGCTGTGAATTCTACCAGCAAAGCTTTCAGTTTCAAGGTTAGCCAAAACATAAATTTTAGGACATAAATGCTAAAGTGCCAAAGCTGACATTCAGAGTCTACAATCGAAGAATCGTCAACGCTCTATATCTATTTCCACGCTTCTCTCTGTCTCCTCCTCTCTCTTTCACTGTCGACCTTTGTCTCTCTGTCTCCCTCCCTGTCTCTCTCTGTCTCTCTCCCTCTCTCTCCTCTTTCTTTCTCTGTCTGTCTGTCTGTCTGTCTGTCTGTCTGTCTGTCTCTCCCTCCCTCTCTCTCTCCCTCTCTCTCTCCCTCTCCCCCTCTCTCTCTCTCTATCTCTCTCACGCTCTCCCTCCCCCTCTCTCTCCCTTTCCCTCCCCCCTCTCTCTCTCTGATTAAAGAGTTTAGTTGGGGCACTTCGACCCCTCTGCCAGGGCCACACGAACTGCGTGGGACACAATATCGCAGAACAAAAATGGAGACACATTACTGGACAACAATCAAGTTTTCTACAGTTGAATTTATACGGAAAACTTAAATTTGGGTCAAGCATTCAAATCTCCTACTTATTTCCTTACGGTTGGTTTCGAAAGTCTACAATCGAAGAATCGTCAACAGTCGTGGGTTGTTCTCTGTTTGATTGTGTGTAAATGCTCCCTCCTCTCCCCCCCTCTCTTTTTTCTTTCTCTCACTGTGTCTATGTCTGTGTCTGTCTTTGTCTCTCTCTCTATTGACACTACCATTAAAATGAAAGAGGAAAGTTGGGGAACTTCCACCCTGTCTGACAGGGTGACCCTGGGCTGAGAGGGGCACGTACAGTAGAGCTGGGCGAAGAATCTAGTCGGGAACCGATTCCCAAGACAAATGCTACGAAAGAAAAGTTCCGACTCCTTTTTGCGTAAACCAACCGTTACCAGTTACTTTAATCTGTAAAATCTTCTTTTTTATTTTTAGAATTTATTTCGGAAAAGTGCAAATTGATGCTTCGTAGTGTTCCGAAATTAAGGTTATCCTAAATCCTAAAGATGTTCGGA